AATGGATTCAAAGTCCACTGAAATAAGCTTCTGAAAGAGGGTAGAAAATTTTGTTTACATATATTTAAGGGTAAAGATGTGAGAGTTTATATAAGTGAAGTATTTTTATTATTTTTTGTAGTAAAATGATAATGGTGAGAAAAATTCTAAAGTTTTTTTTTCTTAGTAATTAATATATTACCTGTACATTAAGAGGACCAATTAAAATTGTGTGTGTTTATATATCTACTAAGCAGCTTCTGAGAGCCACTGTAGCCAAGTTGTTGGTAAGTGCTGTCAAGTCAATTCCAACTCAGAGACCTTGTGTAGGGTTTCTGAGGAGCAGCTGATGGATTTGAACTACCACCTTGCAGTCCATTGCATTATCCTTCAGCGCCACACCAGGATTCCAAGCAAAGTTCATTAAATTTAGAACAACATTTGTAATTTTGTAAAAGAAAAAATACTTTATTCCTCTCAAAAGTTGATCTTGTACCCTGCCACTTTGCTAAATTCTGTCAATGAGTTCTGATAATTTTCTTGCTGAGTCTTTGGGATTTACTAACTATAGGATCATAGCATCTACAAACAGTTTTACTTCTTTGCTAGTTTGAATGCCTTTAATTACTCTTCTCTTATAGCTCTGGCTAAACCTTTCAACAAAGTATTGAATAGGAGTAGTGATAAAGAGCATGCTTGTCTGGTTACTGTTGGCAAAGGAATGACTTCAGTTTCTCACCATTGAGAGTAATGTTGGCTGTTTGTTTTGTATATATGCCCTTAATGATGTTGAGGAATTTACCTTCTATGCCTATTTTGTTGTTTTGTTGTTGTTTTTTTAATCAGGAATGAATGATGGATTTTATCAAATGCTTTTTTTTATGCATCAGTTGCTATGATCATGTGATTTTTTTTCCCCCTTTATTTATGTGGCGAATTACCTTGATTGTTTTCCTGATATTGAACCATTCCAGCAGTGTTGTTGTTAAGTGTTGTCAAGCTGGCTCTCAGTCACAACTATCCTTTATATGGTTTCTGAGGATCAGCTGGTAGGCTAGAAGCACCTTTCCATTAGTAGTCCAGTGCTTATCCTACAGTACCACACCAGACCTCTCCATACTTGCATACCTAATATAAATCCAACTTGATCATGATGTATTATTTTTTTGATGTATTATTGGCTAGGATTTTATTGACAATATTTGCATCTATCTTCATGAGGGATATTGATCTATAATTTTATTGCTTAGGAATATCTTTGCCTGTTTTGGTATCCGAGATATGCTTACTTCATAAGATTAATTCATGAGTTTACTATCATTTTCTAGAACTGGTGTCAGCTCTTCTCTGAATGTTTGGTAGAATTTACCAATAAAGCCATCTGGGCCTGAACTTTTTTTAGTTAACAGTTTTTTTTAATGCTGTGATCAATTTCTACTGGTTATAGGCCTGTTCAAGTTTTCTACTTCATTCTGTGTTTGTTCAAGTAGGTTGTGTGTGTTTCTAGCTTTTCAAATTTGTTAAACTATGGTTCTTCATAGTATTCTGTTAACCCTTTTCATTTCCATTGGTTCTATTGTAACATTACCCATACCATTTCTTATATGTGTTATATGTATCTATCTTCTCTTTTGTTAGATTTGCCAGTAGTTTACTTATTTTATTAATCCTTTCAAAGAACCAATTTCTTGTCTGGTTGGTTCTTTCTATTGTTTTCCTGTGTTCTGTTTCATTTATTTCTGCTCTAACTTTGATTATTTTTTTCTTCTGGTGGAAGCAGGCTAATTTTGCTGCTCTTTTTCTAATTGCTAGAGAGTTGTTGCATTTGGTTCTTCTTTTTGAGTGTAGGCGTTTACTGCTGAAAATTGCCCTCTGAGCACTGCTTTTAGTATGTCTGCTAGGAATCCTGTTGCGGCGCTGCAGATTAACGCGCCAGACTGCAAAGCCGTTTGAACTGCAAGGTTGACGGTTCAAGCTCACCAGCTGCTCTTCGGAAACCCTATACAGGGTTGCTGTGGAATCGGCTTGATGGCACTTACCAACAACATCTATTACTTGGGAGTCCTGGTGTGGCTCTATGGGTTATTGCACTGTACTGCAAAGTCACTTTTAATTGCAAGGTCGGTGGTTCAAGCTCACCAGCTGCTCCTCAGAAACCCTAGGGTCACAATGGGTGGAAACCTACTTGATGACACTTAGCAACAACAGCCTAGTAGTTTTTAAGCAGGGTGTTGTTCAATTTCCATACATTTGATTTTTTTCCTTGACCTTCTGATTGTTGATTTCTGATTTTATAGCATTGTGGTCTGAGAAGATGCATTGTAGGATTTTGATGTTTTAAAATTTGTTGAGGTTTGCTTTGTGATATAACGTGGTTTGTTCTGGAGAATGTTCCATGTATGTATGCTGAAAAAGAATTTATTGTGTTGTGGGGTTGAATGTTCAGTGTGTGTCTGTGAGGTCATGTTGGCTGATTATATTGTTTAGTTCTGTGTACTTGTTCAGTTTCTTTCTAGTTGTTCTCCCTTTCATGAAAACTGGTGTATTAAAATCTCCTATTATTGTAGAGTTTGTTTCTTCCTTCAGTTTTATTAAAGCTTGATTTATGTATTTTGAGGCTCTTTCAAAGGGGACATATATATTTATTATATAACCCTTAATCATGGTATGGAGTTCTGGTATGGCCCTGTAGGATAAGCACTCAACTGCAAGGTCAGTTTGAACAGCAAGGTCAGCAGTTCAAACTTACCAGCCACTCCTCAGAAACCCTATAAAGGGTTGCTGTGAGTTGAAACAATGGCACTTAATAACAACAACAATTATGGTATAATGTCCTGTTTTGTCTCTTATGTTGATTTTTGCCACTCCTCATTTTGCTGTTTGCCATTAGCTTTATGTAGTTTTTCCCATTCTTTGATTTTTTAGCCTATTTCTGTCTTTGTGTGTAAAGTGTGTCTCTCTTAAACACCATGTTGAAGGATCCTGTTTTCTTATCCATTCTGCTACTCTTTGTCTCTTGATTGGTGCATTTAATCCACTGACATTCAGTGTAATTATCAATAGGTATGAACTGATTTCTCTTAATTTTGCTCTGTGTTTTTGGTTACTGCTGGTTTCTTTGTTCCACATAATTTTTTGCACTGGGTTCATTTTGTGAGTTTTCCTTTCATTTTCTTCATTTCTGTTTCATTAATGTCTACTAAAATTTTTTTTCCTGTTAACAACTGTCTTTTATCTTGAAATCTATTTGACTTCCTCCCCATTCTGTATCTACACTAGTCCATCTTTAATCTATTTGCTGTAGTTGGTTCTCAGTCCTTTTAATGTGTTTTAAAAAAAAACTTGGTCTGATTATTGCAAATTCCTTTAATTTCTGTTTATCTGGACATGCCCAATTTCTGCTGTCATATTTGAGGGATAGCTTTGCTGGGTATATGATTCACGGTCTGTGCTTTTTATAGTCTCTTCCGGTTCCTTTCATGGTGTCTCAGATAACTCTTAAGCTTTCTTCAGATTTTTTCTTTTTTTTTTTTTTCTGATTGTTTTAATTGAGAGATTTATCTTCGTGATGACTAATTTGAGCTTCCATTACTTTGAATCTACTCCTTTGTGCTTTCATTGTGTTTTAAAATCCTACTACTTTAAATGACTTCAAGAGTCTGTAGTCATTCACTTAATTGTTGGGATTATTATGTTTTTGTGATGTAATCAGAAACTTCATCAGAATGTTGAGTAAGACTGATTTTCTCAGTCACAGAATTCAAGTTTCAGTTGCAAAATATTGGAGATTATAGAAATTCACCCCCACTCTCTCAACTCCAGACTTAAATTGTAGTATACCTAAGAATACCTAGATAAATTTCATCTACCCTTAAGTTATTGCCTTTAATCTTCTTGAAATTCAGTATTTTACTTGGTGAGTTCTATGCCTTGCTAATTTCATAGGAAGGGGGGCAACACTGTATCAGAAATTCATTATTTTTCAGATGATCAAAGACAGTATGAAAAAGTGTTTGTGAGTATGAAATACCAAAATTTTTTCCAGCCCTAGGTTTTCTAAAACCTTCATAGTCTGTCAAGAAGATGTAAGTTAACTGATTATTGAAATGAGTTGACACACTGCATTGGTAATGGGAATCACTGTTTGGTGATGGTTGTGTATTTAATAAATCCTTACAGCTTTTATGGAGGCCTGGTATGGTACTGTGGGCTAGTGTGTCAGACTGCAAAGTCATTTGAGCTGCAAGGTCGGTGGTTCAAGCTCACCAGCTACCCTTAGAAACCTTGTACAGGGTCGCTGTGGGTCAGAATCAACTCAACGGCACTTAGCAACTGTTATGCCCAGAATTCAGGGTCCCCAAAGACCACCCAGGAGCCGTGTACCGATGCAAATACATAAGGGTTGTTTAATCAAGCTCAAGCCAGGTCTCTAACCGTATCCGACATTT